ATAAATCGTTAATGATCCTTTTAGCTATCACTTGCAGACGGGACGATGTTGGGGTCCTTGCCCATATTGCCCCTCCCACCCGCTACTGAAGATGGGAATCTTGGCCCATTGCCTCCATCTCAGCTTACAGAAGAAGATAGCGATGGCATTAAGGAACTGAAGGATGAGGAGGAGAAGAACAAAAATAATTCAGCTCCAGTTTCAGTTGCGACCCATACAAGAACTATTGGAATCATTTATCCACCTCCTGATATCAGAAGCATTGTGGATAAGACATCTCAGTTTGTTGTTAAGAATGGCCCTGATTTTGAGCGAAGGATTATTCATAGCAATGCAGGAAATGCAAAGTTCAATTTTTTGAACCCCTCTGATCCTTATCATGCTTACTATCAGCACCGTTTATCTGAAGGTCGCGCGCAGAGCCTGGCTTCTGCTCAACAGCCGTCCGACTCAGATACTCCAGAGTCAGCCCCTTCTGCACCTGCAACTGATGATGTTGATGCTGCAGCAAAGCCGGATCCTTCTGCACCATTCCGGCCTGTTCGCAAGGTTCTTGAACCACCTGAAGCAGAGCAGTATACTGTTCGGCTACCTGAAGGCATCACTGGGGAGGAATTGGATATCATAAAGCTTACTGCCCAGTTTGTAGCAAGGAATGGGAAGTCTTTCCTTACAGGGATGACCAGTAGAGAGATCAATAACCCCCAGTTTCATTTTTTAAAGCCCACCCATAGCATGTTTATGTTTTTCACTTCACTGGCTGATGCATACTCAAAGGTCCTAATGCCACCTAAAGCATTGACTGATAAACTGAGGAAGAGTGCTGCCGACATGACAACTGTTCTTGAAAGGTGCCTAAATCGATTGGAATGGGAAAGGTCAGAGGAGCAATCAAGACAGAAAGCAGAAGACGAGATTGAACAAGAAAGACTGCAAATGGCTATGATTGATTGGCATGATTTTGTTGTGGTTGAGACTATAGACTTTGCAGATGATGAGGATCAGGATTTGCCCCCTCCTATGACCCTTGAGGAGGTTATAAGGAGAAGCAAGATATCATCTATGGATGAGGAAGAAGAATTTGTTGAGCCAGGGAAAGAGGTAGAAATGGAGATGGATGAAGAGGAGGTTCAGCTTGTTGAAGAAGGCATGAGAGCCACTACCCTTGAGGAGAACCCTGTCCAAAATTCTGAAGTGAAAGCAATTACAGAGGATCAGGAGCCACCTATGAGAATTGTGAAGAACTGGAAAAGGCCGGAAGAAAGGATGCTCTCAGAACGAGACCCAACGAAGTATGTCATCTCTCCTATAACTGGGGAGATGATTCCAATCAGTGAGATGTCTGAACATATGAGGATCTCTCTTATCGATCCTAAATACAAGGAGCAGAAGGAGAGAATGTTTGCCAAGATTAGGGATACAACCCTTGCTCAGGATGATGAAATTTCTAGAAATATTGTTGGGCTTGCTAGGACACGTCCTGATATTTTTGGTACCACCGAAGAAGAAGTATCGAATGCAGTCAAGGCTGAGATTGAGAAGAAAAAGGAAGAACCAAAGCAGGTCATATGGGATGGTCACACTGGCAGCATTGGTCGCACAGCCAGCCAGGCATTGTCCCAAAACAGCACCGAAGACCAGTATGATTTTGTAAATGATTCTAGGAATCTTCCTGGCCCTCAAGCACCACCTCCTCCCAGGCCTGGATTGCCATCAGTTCCACCACTTCCTCCGCCGCCTAGCCTAGCACTAAACATTCCTCGCCCGCCTAATAGTTACCCTTATCCAACCCCCGGTAACCCTGGTGTTATTGTCCAAACAATTCCCAGGCCTCCTGTGATGAACACAATCCCACAAGTGCAACCTCCACCCCCTACCATCTCACCCATGCCTGGGCAACATCTTATGGTAAACCGTCCCCCAATGCACACGTCTATGTCCATCAATGCTCCAAACATTTCATTACCACCACCACATGGTTCACAATTTACACCAATGGGCCCTCCTCGACCCTTTGTTCCCTATCCAATGTCCCAGCCTGGAATGAATGTGATTGCACCACCTCCAATGCCGCCCCATGGAATGCCCCCACCGCCTCCATCTGAGGAAGCTCCACCGCCGCTCCCTGAGGAACCAGAGCCTAAAAGGCAAAAGCTTGATGAATCTGTACTAATTCCTGAAGACGAGTTTCTGGCTAAGCATCCGGTATGAAAATCATTTGCTTTGATGTCCTTTAAGAACTTTTTCTTTTCTGTTTTGCTTATTTGTTTCTAATTTGTGTTCTGTTTTATTTTCTTTTCCCTTTTTTGCAGGGACCTTCCCGAGTCAGCATTACTGTACCAAATGTTGATGAAGGAAATCTCAAAGGGCAGATATTGCAAATTTCAGTGCAATCCTTGTCAGAAACTGTTGGCAGTTTGAAGGAGAAGATTTCTGGCGAGATTCAGCTTCCTGCAAATAAGCAGAAGCTGAGTGGAAAGGCTGGGTTTCTCAAGGACAATTTGTCACTTGCATATTACAATGTTTCCCCTGGAGAAGCACTTAATCTCTCACTCAGGGAACGAGGTGGCAGAAAGAGATGAATATCAATCAATAGTTTTCGAGGCAATTAAGAGGTTCATATTGGAAATACTGCCATTTCGTAAAACCTTTGAATATCTAAGGCATTTCCTTTGTGTTGTTGTGTTAATCTTGAGATTTTATTTACCATGTATACCTTATAGTACTTTTTGAGTGTTGCAAGTCCTTAAGCCAATGGTATGATAAACTACTACAAAATTGGTATCTCGACGACGTATCACTGAGGCCTGGGCTAATGGGAAGTTTGATAGTTACTCCGTATATTCATAAGCTGCAATTTTTTCTATTTGTATTACTATGCGACTAATAATGTCTACTCTTGACATGCAGCTGCTCCCTTTCAGGCTAGCCGAGGTTTCTTTAATCTCTGCATTGAAAAACATCTCATTCAGTTCAACTCTAATAATGTGGTATACGTTTTCTTGTTTATGACTTTTTGGAAGAATCACTTTCTTAGCATGCGGTGCTGAGAACTATACTTTGGAATGAGGTTTGTTTCAGTAGGGCCTATGAGCACTCCTAAGTATAATGCGCAGCCCACACACAAACACATATAAACAGTGTTTATGTGGTATGCTCTTCAAAAGCAGTTTCACACACACTCATAAACGGTTTCATCCTCTCCAGGTGCTCCGCTGGCAGATTCCCCAAACCATTACACCATGTACAAGATACTTCGATACCCATGTCCTTGGAGCGTTCTCATGTGTCAAAAGAGAAGACAAAGCTCGTGGCACACGTGTAGACATCCTCTCGACTACCATTTGGATTGATGTCCTCTTCCCCCGCAGTGGGTGAGAGCCTTTGAGGCACAGGGGTAATGTTGTTGTTCCACTTATGTATGAATGAACAACCCTACCACCAATGGCACAATGAAGATAATCACAGACTTGGTTTGTCAGGAAATCTTTTGGGTCATGTCTTCTATTTGCTCTCACTCAGAAATGCATCATCCGCTGCCTCAGTTTTCCCCTTATTAGCTACCACCTATTCTATACAACACCAAATAACAAGTAAAACAATAACCCAGTTGGATCCGACGAAAGTAAGATATTGGACGAAAGTAGGGTTTGGGCTATGCAATACCAAATAATGAATAGTAGTCCACCATATTAATTCATAGTCTGGAAGGTATTTTTCAAAGAATGTTGAACTTCATTCCATAGTAGTGTGTCTACAACTACAAGATAAGAATATAGATCTCCCAACTTGAGAATAGCCCCTCCTTGGATGAGAGGCAGTATTCAAAATACATGAGGCTATTAAAAGTACACTAGTCATTTCGTCTAAAATACATGGGAGACCAGTTGTTAGGAAAATTATGTGCGTCGATTGTCATGTAACCAGTCGGTTTCACATATGGGTCACATGTCGCAAAAAAAATTCCTACGATGCATTAATGATTTATTTCCTTATGCTTGCACTTAAAATTGCAATGGTCTTCAAAGCATTTAACGACGCCACAAGCATCCTATTAGGGAGTTAGATTTATATACTAGTCATTGAGTCTTCTTTTTTTTTTTTACGGAGTCTTATTTATGTTGTTAATATATATTCTTCCTATGTGATCAGAATAGTAAGATTCAAAATGCCTTCTTGTAGGAATAATGTTATCACTCCGGTATAACACTATTCTTACCATACACCTAGTTGCTTCGTGTTTGGTTTGATCTACGTTGCAATTCATTAGAAGGTTTAAACGTACAATATTATTCTAGTCTTGGTTTAGATGATCCGCGATACACATGTATATGTAAATTTTATTTTTAATTCCACATCAACTATCATACTCCGTATAAATTAAATTGAAAACGTGCAGTTTAATTACTTGCTGCTGATTATTCCCCCAACTAGTAAGAAAGGAGCAATTATCAGTTGTTTTATTTGCAATTAAGAACCTTAAAAAATCAACTAATTCAATATTTTCTTCATTCAGAGGCGGAGCATTGCCCCGCTAAACTTAATGGCGGATCATTCTCCCGTTATTAAAGTATAAGAATCTAAAATATTAATGTCGGCTAACTCCCCCCCCCCCCCTAATGTGCAAAAATGCAAAATATTAGCTTTGGATAATGATAAAGGAAGACAACTCAAACTCCGTTCTCTTCTAGCTAGATTCTGGATATTATAGAACAAAGAGTGGCCCGGTTACACCCAAAAACGGTGCCACTCCAGTGCCACTGCACTTTTGGGACATCTTCAGTGTTCCGTTCGTAAAATTGACGGTTCCTGCCCTTCTAACCCATCCCCTAAAACTCTCATCCTACCCCACCCCAATCCTGCCGTAAGCCCCCACAAAATATTTGGCTATTATACAATGCATAATATTGGACAGGGGAGCGTATAAAACCCAATTCGTGCGGCCCACCGTGCTCGTTAGTTGCATTTGGTTCCATTGGCGTCGATTTGTGGTCGCGCATCGTAGGGCCAGGCCGCATGCTGTGAATGATGTTAGCTTTCCTTTATCCAGGTTCAGATAATTTGGGGGTTGTTCTTTCTTAAATTCTTCCTCCTCTCGAGTTTCATACTCCGGAACATAATTCTTTTAGATTTTACTTCAAAATCGTCAAAGATCAGTTAAATCGATTGATTGCATTATATCCCACTTTCTAAGAAAATAACTGCATCCATGATACAGGTGGGGAATCTGTCCGTAACGATACAATACTAGAGAATACTCAAACAAGGTATTGATTTTTTCCCCCAAAAGTATTCATACCGATTTCTGATTTCAACACACAATCGCATCATTGAAAATCCTATAGTGGTGATGAATCTGTATAAAAACGAAGTGGAGAACCTCTGCATTTCCCACCCATTATTATGTTTTTATTTTATTCTTCGTTGTTTTTTGGGGGCACTATTCTTACTCTGGCTAAGTCGACCATGGTATATTATCCCGGATTCATCAGCTATTTAGTTTTTACTGGTTTGAATATTGTAGTAAATCTGGCCTTTTCTTCTTTTGCAGGTATGTCCCTATGTGTTTGATGTGAAAATGTCCGAGAGCTTGAGGATTTTCTCAGTAGTAAGCGCATCTACGTGGTGATTGTTGAACACTATGGCTTTTTGTTAACATATTTTTTTCATGTGGAATGAATCCAAGCTAACAAGTTCTCTCTAAGATCATGTTTGGATTTTGGATTTCATTTCAAATTCAAGATTTTGAATCCCAAAATATCAATTTCAGTATTTCAATGTCAAGTCCTTTCTCTTGCAACTTTAAAGAATTGAAAATCTAAAATTTTAACCAAGAAAGATAGCTAGATGGGTTAGGATTGATGATTTGGTGTTCTTGGTATAAAAAAATTAGAAAAGAGAATTAGTTGATTAGGGAGAAGGGTGGGATGAGATGAGGAATTTAGAATCACATGGTTATACTTCTCATTTGAAAATTCCATACGCTAATCATTTTAGATCAAGAATGGAATTGAGTGGAATCCCTAATTTAATTCGCTGGTGCATCCAAACTAACATGAAATCTGTTCCGAATCTGGAATTGCAAATCAAATCACCATATCTAAATACACCATAAAAGATTTTCTTAGTCTGAGGTTTATTTTTGTTGTACTCTTTTTTTAATACTTCACTTGGTTATGTTATTTTTACAACTTGCCATTGACTGTTGCACCTTCAAGAATGCTATGGGCCTATGGCATCCTAATCCTAAGACACTCATTTTTTGGGGAATTAAGACACCCTCACTGGCGGGGAGGGGGGGGGGGGTTGTCAGTTTGTCACTCTATTCTTCCTGAACTCATTCCTTTTCTGTTCACCAAACACAAACTTAAAGAAATTAGGGAACTCGATTCCTTTGTTATCACCTGAACCCAATCATCTTTCATTCCCCAAACACTGTCTAAGAGCTTTTCTATTTATTCGGTTGAATGTTTTTTATCCATATGTTATTCGGTGTCAGGTTAATCATGTCACCAAATAAATTTCTCTTTAATGTGATCGAGATCTTCTTTTAAGGATAACCTCTTTAAATGAAGAGCATGTTATTTATAAAAAAACTAGTGAAATATTTACTTCGGTCTTGCTTCGTATGATCAATACCTCTCATCTATAGACATGGAAATTCCCTGAACACAATTCTCATTTCATATATCAGTCCTTGGATACAATTATCACTTCATATCCTGAATAAAAGCGTATTCTAGGGCCACTGAATAAATTTCCTTGGACAAAATTTTCATTTCATATATCAATCCTTTGATACAATTATCATTTCATATCCTGTTGTTATTGATAGTTATAGTTATATAAATGACATGGATAAAATTATACCTTTTGAAGGTATCATTTCGAAAGTCCGTCTGTCTCTCGTGTTTGATTCACCACTCTTTATCATTGAGATGATTGAAGATGTTTTATTGATCTGTGTTAATGGTTCATATTAAACTTAATCACTGACTTCTCTTTATTTTTCCCTCATTTTTGTCTTAGAGAGTTACACACTTGGTATTTGCAAAGGCAACATTTTATATTTGACGGTCTACATTCGGCCACTAATCTCAGAAAGATCAATACTTAGAAGTTGAGGTAAACTCATTCTGCACCTACTCATCCATGGTTAGATTTTTTAAAACCCGGAATTGATGATCTCATGGGTACGGTTCACGTTGTGCTCCTTACCATTTATTCGAATTTAGTGCTGTTGTGTTTGAAAATGCCATAGATAGGGGCTGCTAATTCAATCATAAGAGAACCCGTGTTTCTTTTATTCTATATATATATATATATATATATATCTATGTATGTGTATGTATGTATGTATGCTATTTTTTAAAAAATAATAAAGTTTACACAGATTTACATAGTTTGCGGACGGCACCCATGGTGCACCATCTTACTATGGATGTTACTCCTTATGGTCTGATGTCTCTTTTGCTGTCAATAGGTTATCTCACTACATGTATGCTCCAACAACTTCCCATTAGTCATGCTTCTTTTTCCGTGCTCTGTGCTTTGTGTGTTGACCCTACTCCCGTGGGATTCTACTAGATTGTTGTAGTTGTAGACTTGTAGTTGTTGCTGTTATATTTTTGGTCAAAAAGGTATAGCAGCTGAAGTAATTTTCAAATTTTATCTTGATTCACACTGTTAGTCACTTGTCTTAGTTTTTACATGAATTCCATCATGTCATTTAAGGATGCAAGTTCTTTTATATTCCTAATCTAATTAAATAACTGGAACTGTTGTGAGCTTAGGCTGTCTTTTCAGGAAATTCAGGAAATGAGCCTTGTTAGGGTTTGTGGTTGAGGTTTTTCTTATGTTGGGCCTTCCAGTTCGGAAATCTTTTAATACTCAATTGGAACAGACAGAACATTGAATAAATGTGGAATAATTAATACTCTTGAAGGTGAAAATCTGTTAGCTATCTTTTCAAGTTTCAAGATGCTGGTAGTGTTTAGAACATCGCCAGTGCCGCCAAGAATGATTTATTTTTCCTTCACAGTGGGAATTGATCAACTGCATTGTTTAATGCAAATACTGTATCTAATTGGTGGATGTTTTTTTAGCCACACGCACATACATACACGTGCCTGTATCTGTTTATTTCTTTTTGTTTGAGTAGATGATTTGAATGCTTATTTTACTTTCTCAATTACTTGTCACATGTTCAGGTTTTTGTTCATTGTTTATATCATGAAAGGAGAAGAAACATCATGGGTCAGTCATTGCTATGACCACATTTCAAGAGATAGTAATCATAGTATTGGGTTCAATTCATCATCATCATCATCATCATCCGTGCACAATGATGAAAGCGATAGTGCTGTAGTCCCAGTTCTTATTGATGTGATATTGCCCAATGATCTGTTGGAGCGGATTCTGGCCTGCCTGCCCATTGCCAGCCTTTTCAGGGCCGGCTGTGTCTGCAAAAGGTGGCACGAGATAGTGAACTCAAAGCAGTTTTTATGGAACTTCTCACAGGTCCTGCCAAAGAAACCTTGGTATTTTATGTTCACAAGCCCATATGAGCCTATTGGTTATGTCTACGATTCCTTCCTCAGGAAGTGGTATCGGTTTGAACTCCCGTGCATTGAGACCTCTAGTTGCTTCATTGCCTCGTCTTGTGGATTAGTCTGCTTTATGGACAATGACAGTAGAAGCCAGCTCTGCATATGTAACCCCATAACCAAGCGCAGCAAGAAGCTTGAGGAGTTTGCAGATCTCAGGTTTTCTGACTACAGTGCTCTGGCAATCTCAGTTGAGAGGAAAGCTCAAAGGTGCGACGTGACTTACAGTGTTGTGGTCCTCAAGTCTAAACAAGTTCCGGGAAACTTCTTTCAGTGGGATCTGTCCATCCACACATACGACTCAGAAACAATGACGTGGGCAACCCCGTTCACAGAGAGATTAGAAGGGTGGAGGGGTGGGGACGAGAGCGTAATTTGCGATGGCATGTTGTATTTTTTGATCTACTCCACGGGAGGCGGTCCTGCAGAAAACAGACACAGGTTGGTATCTTATAACCTGACGAGCAGGGGGAGGGAGGGTTCGTTGATGAGGAGTTTTGTGCCGGTGCCGTGTTTCCTGACGTGCGGGCGGTTGGTGAACCTCAAGGGGAGGCTGATAATGGTGGGAGGGATTGGGAAGCCGGATCGTTCGGATGTTATAAAGGGGATAGGGATATGGGGGTTGTTGAGCGAAGACGACGAAGATGGTGAGGGTGGTGGTGGTGGGGGGAAGGTGTGGGAGGAGATAGCGCGAATGCCACCGGCGTACTTCCACGGATTTGGGGAGTTTGATGACGTATTTGCTAGCAGCGGCGGTGATGAGTTGGTATACATCCAGAGCTACGGCGCCCCGGCACTTCTTCTGTTTGACGTGAAGCAGAAACAATGGAGGTGGTCGGTCAAATGCCCTGTCTCTAAAAGGTTTCCCCTTCACCTCTTCACTGGCTTCTCCTTTCAACCCAGCCTCCATGTCTCTCCCTGACTGACACCGCTTTCTCCTTCTAAGTTCTAACTAACTAACTATATATATATATATATATATATATATATATATATATATGGATTTTTTTGCTCATCTCTTTCCTTCCTACTACCCCTGCCCATAAATTTTCATTCAAGAAGATTTTTTTTTTGAAAGCTTCACTCAAGAAGTTGAAAGGTTTATTATATATATAGGTGTCTGTGTCTGGTGAAATGAATCATCAATCTCAGTACGGTTTTTTTTATTATTTTTGAAGTGGATTATCCATATTATTATGGTGACTACAAAACTTCTTTTTTTTTTTTTGAATGAGATTACTGTCTCGTGATGCCGTTATATAGGATATCTTGCTCTTTCATTTTTGTGGCGATAATCGAGTTTCTCTATTGTCCTACCAAACTACTCCCTATAAATACGGTGCACAGTGACCTTCTTAAACAAACAATTTATTAAAATAAATAAATGCCCATTTATATAATACTCTATTTGCCCATTTATTAAAATGGCTTTCACATTGAAATTGAGAAATACTCCCTCCGTCTCATGAAACATGAGACTTTTTGCTTTTTAGGAGGGATTTAAGGGGAGTGTATTTTGGTATTGAATTTCCAAAAATGTCTTTTAATATGATGAGTAAAAGTATGATTTGATGGATAGATTATTAGTAAAAAGGTATTATGTGATAGTTAGGGTATGAAAAAGTAAAGGGTAAAATTGACTTTTTAATAGAAATGAGAAGTGTTTTGTGGGACGGATAAAAAAAAAGAAAGGTTTCATGGGACGGAAGGAGTATATCATTAAAATTTGTTAAAATGACAGACAAATTATGAGTCACATACTCACATGTTCGTTATTTAAAAAAAAATTAGGAAGTACTCTGTATTATTTGAAACGTCCAAAAAGAGGTGTTAAATGTTCTTTTTAAACTGAATGAATTTAAGAGCATCTTCCAATGGGAAAAAAAGTCAAAAAACTTATATTGAAATGCTAAAATACCATGGAAACATCTTTATATAGCGGTGGATTGATGCAATTTAGCTGACTTGCAAAATTATGCCACCTCCGTCGCAGAAGAAAAATTAGTGAATAGCCATATTTTAGCTTCTAGCAAATACCGTATGCTAAGAACAATTCAAACCGAGTCATGTATAATTGGACATAAAAACATACTCCCTCCGTCCCTAAATATTTGTCACACTTATATTCCCGAGGTAAAATATCGAGCTTTTTCAATTTATTTTAATTACATATTGGCATAGAAATAAAATAAATAAAATTTACATATCAAAAAACTACATGAAAAGTTTTTCGAAATAAGAAGTGTCAAGAATATTTTATTTTATCAAATAACCAATGAAAACGTTGAAATAAACAAAAGTTTCCGCGACTGCTGAAAAATCAAATGTTTTAAATATTTAGGGACGGAGGGGGTATTTTTTAAACTCTGGATAGTGTTTTGGCCGTGTTGGTCTACTACGGTATCATGCATATTACCGTGGAATAGCCATTTTTATTATTTTCTAATTGTATTTGTAACATGTATATTCTAAAGTACAGCTTGTGGGTTGGAGATGCCCTAAGAATTTGTCTATAAATACACACCCACACTTTATCAACGTACATTTATGGAGTACTTTGTAGGGAGCATATCAATATCTTGTGCATTTAAAAAAAAAATCAATACTAGCTCCGTCTCAATTATTTGTCTAATCTGATTTTTCCAAATCAAATCGTATGAATTTTGATTTTTGAGTTTCAATTACTCTTAATTTGTATTGCATATTAATATAATGAAACAAAAAAAATGGAATGATTGATGGGTGTGAGAGAGCAATACTCCTTTTTTGTTTTGTTTGAATGCTCCTTAATAATCTTATTTTGAAGTTTTAAAGCAAAGTCCAATGGCAATGGGAGGGTTGATGGGTCTCAGTTGCAAGGAAGGGGCTTCACCGGGTTGGACCAACGCTTTAAAGCCCAATTCCAGTTACCGCTATCAGTGCCACGCGCCCACGCTTACTTTTTCGGAGGGCGGATAAAAGCCAGTAAAATACCCGCCGGAGGATGAGAAGAAGAAGAAGAAGAAGAAGAAAGAGAGCAGCGGTGGAAAAACATCTGGAAGAAGAAAAGATGAATCTGAGCGTGAACACCGCCGTGGAATCGGTGTTGTCTCAAATCCAAAGCTTATCAAACGGTTCCCCAGACAACATCTCTCAGCTTCACGCCTTCCTGAAACAGTCCGATGAGCTCCTCCACTCCGAGTCGACTCGCTTGCTTCCCCTGCTCGCCCAACTCAACCCTTCTCTCCACTCTTTGGGCTATCTCTATCTCCTGTAAGCCCCCTCCTTGTTTCTTCACGCTATGCTTTAAACTTTAGGGTTTGTTTGTTGTCGCTGTCTTCCCTCTTTTGATTCGTAGTTCACTTATGAATGAATCATTATGCGGATATATTTTGTATTTTGTTTTTATCTTGCGAGTCTAGATAGTTTGTGTGTTTCTTACCCAGCAATACTCTGATTATCTTCTCTTCAGTAAGTTTTCTATCACGAGTTTGCGTCTCATTTGTATTTTGCTATAAACAGGGATGCATCCATGTCTGCCCCCATTCCGACGGAGCAGGCCCGTGGACTAGTTGTGTGTGTCGCCACATTTATTTGTGAATGTGCTGCAGATCAAATCCATTTGGCACCTGAGAAATGTACTTATCATCACTTCTTTTCAATTTATTGTATTATAACCATCCACCATTATCGCCATCATTATAATCGTTGCTTATTTGTTCTTTTTTTTCATCTTGGTTTTTGTTTCCAGTCATATCTGTCTGTAAAAGATTCAAGGAGCAAGTTCTGATACTAAGAGCTCCTCTACAAGGTGTGTGTCCCATGCTGACAGCCATTCAGAAACTACGGCTCTCTTCTGAGCAACTAACACCCTTGCATCCCGAATTTCTTCTTCTGTGCTTACTGGCAAAGTGCTATCAGACTGGTTTTTCTTTTTTGGACGATGACATCTTTGAGGTCGATCAGCCGAAGGACTTTTTCCTCTATTGCTACTATGGGTGAGTTGAACAACTTATGGAAGTCCAGTGATCTTTCATCCCAAGTCCTTTCTATTTCATCTGCAGAATCACCTACAAAACTAAAAAACTACTGTCTGATGATTTTAGTTTTGATAAGTTTAATTTGAAAGTAGCACCTTATTTTTGCAGGAAGTTCTGTACATGAGTAAATATAACTTTTTCCCTCAACACATGTCTAAGAACTTGTTCGACCATTTATATTTGTCTTCAGAAATCAGACATAATTTAGTCCAACGACTTCAGTGCAATTAATATTTCTCAGGACGGTCAATTGGATTGGAATCAATGGAGTCGATTTCTGAGGGTGCTCAAGTGGAGCCTAGCAGTTGGCTCTAGATTTCCTAATCACTGATTGGGCATTACAAAGCTGAGATAATACAGTCTTAACAAAACAGTAACTCAGATATAAAAACAATAACACAATGGCTTCTGTGGGTTTTCTATGGTGTTCTATAATTTCCATTTAAGTCTATACACTTGATTGTTGCATAATCCTTTGCAGACATCTTTGGGATAGTGTTTTTGTTATATTTGCATGTGTACAGAGCTATGGCTAATTCCGTTGCATGTTGGGCATGGTTGCAGGGGCATGATTTGCATTGGACAGAAGGAATTTCGTAAAGCCTTGGAGCTTTTTCATAATGTATGACTGCATTGTAATTAAAATTGGGTCAGGAAGGATGAAGGGAGATGCCTCTTTTTTCCTTTTTTTTTCTGATTAATTCTATAGCTACCTGTATCAAGTTAAAAGCAGTTAATTGTATTCTCATGCTTGACTGCCATGCTCTTAGGTAGTAACAGCACCAATGTCCACTTTAAATGCAATAGCAGTTGAGGCATACAAGAAGTACATACTAGTTTCACTAGTTCAGAATGGACAGGTCAGTTTTGCGGTGTGTAACACCATTCTTCAACTGCTATGACTTTGTGGCTTTGTGTATATGAAATTTATCTTCATTTACTTGTGATGACAGTTCTCTACCAGCTTCCCAAAATATACATCTTCTGTAGCTCAAAGGAATCTTAAGAACCACTCTCAGGTAGGCTATTGGATACTGTGCATGCATCTTAAAACCAAAAACCCACACATGGATCTGTAGCATTCATAGGTCTTGTCTGGATAATGCTCCAACAGAAGCCAATGATGCTACAGATGCTGAACGATTTCAATTAAAACCTCCGTGTGTGTATTTATCAGCATAGCTACGACTTCTGGGGCGTGTATTGTAAGTGGTAATTTCCTCTGTATATTTAATAGCTTAGCTAAAACTTCTGGTGTGTGCATTGCAAGTGGTAGCTGATGTTGATCCATTCATTTTGTAAACAAAACATTGAGTCATTATCTTATGATAACAATATTACTAGTAACGGTTTCATGATAAACCCTTTTTTTTTCCTTCATTTGAGCAGCCCTACCTGGAGTTGGCAAACAGTTATAGCCTTGGGAAAATCTCTGAGCTTGAGATATGTGTACAGACAAACAAAGACAAGTATGAAAATGTGAGTTTCTTCTTAAAAAATAACTCTTTTCGTCTTCATGCTAGGATTTAGATAGGGTTCCTTTTCTTATTTGTGGCAAATGAAACTGTTTTTTTCTACTATTCAATTTACAGGATAATAATCTCGGATTGGTGCAACAAGTGGTGGCATCTATTCATAAACGCAATATTCAGAGATTGACTCAAACGTATCTCACCCTTTCACTTCAAGATATTGCTAATGCTGTCCAGCTAAGGAATCCCAAGGAGGCAGAAATGCATGTCCTACAAATGGTAAAAATCTGGCTCTCTCTCTCTCTCTTCAGATTTTGTAGTTGTGTGTATGCATGCTCACGCCTGACCTAGAAGTTGTTTGATACTAGATTGAAGACGGTGAAATTTATGCTACTATAAATCAGAAAGATGGAATGGTTAGATTTCTTGAGGATCCTGAGCAATATAAGACCTGTGAAATGATTGAGCACATAGATTCATCGATACAGAGGTGAGGCGAGTAATAGTCTTTTAAAATCTCCCAGCATTAAGTACGTGATACAAATGATGATTATATTTCTGCCTCTGCCATGTTCCAGGATGATGACGCTGTCAAAAAAGCTAACATCTATGGATGAACATATGTCATGCGACCTTTCCTACCTTGCCAAGGCAAGCGCCCCCTAACTTGTTTGTTCCATACTTTCCAGGGGGGGGTGGTAGATTTTGTGTTAACGTCTGGCTGGTTACACGTACATTTTCTCAGGTTGGTAGAGATAGACAGAGATTCGATTTTGATGATATGGATGGGGTTCCTCACAAGTTCAACATATGAAAAAACCAAAGCCAGGGTCAGTTGGTTAAGCTTGAAGCAGGAATAGTCACTGCAAGTCTGTCTGTCTTATCACCTACCTACTTGGCATATAATCGCATTGAACATACATCTCTTGAGACTAAAATGTCAAAAGTGTCTTCCTCTTTCATTTTGCACTTTGCATCGGATTCATGTGCAAGTAACAGATCACATCTTAGAACACATGTAGCACTTCCCTATTACCTTAATGTGCTCCCTGCTATCTATCAAAATGGAGAAAAAAGGTACCGTTGTTTCTCAACAAACTATCTATCTTTTCTTTTTTTGAGTTAATGTAGTAGTATAACACTAGATTTTATTAGAAGAAGTGAGTTCTATTGTTTTAATATGCGTGAAACGTTGGATCTGTGGAATGGGACTTGTCTTATCTACTTAAAACTGATGATGAATTTGGCTCTCCTTTCTGGTGGTTACCTTACAATGAGATTGGTTGGCAACTGCCTATCAACATACATAAGAGTTCGCTTGCCTCTCTATATATATACTTGTGTGGAATAACGTTTTCAATTATCGTTAGCGTTTTAGATTTTTTTAATGATACTGGTTAATTTTGAAAAGCTGAAGTTTTTGTTTTTAAAATGTTAAAGCTTAGCATTTAAAACTGATGTATAGACCTAAAATAAATATAGAAGGAATATAAACATGTATTTGTTTTTGTTACGATTATTATTTTGATGCTATAGTCAAGTTCTCTTCCACAGAGCAACTCCAAGGAGAGGGGTAAATGGGGTAAGATACCATAATTGTCATATTAGTTTTTTTCCACACAAATCAAACTTCCAATGGAGAAGGTAAATCAGAAGGTAAATTACCTTCTTTTATTTTGGAGAGGTATCTTTACCTACTCAAATACAAAAGGTAAAATATCTCATGCCAAAGTCAAGTAATCTCTCGTGCTTCGTTGATCTTCTATTTTTAAAATCAGACAGAGTTGACAAAAAAAAGAAATAAATTTTGAAATTAACCCTAAAATGTCTTTTAATTTGGGAAAAGTATATTTACCTTTTCTAATAACCTCTATCCATTGGAATTAAATAATTTCTTAGAAGGTATAATCACCTTTTTGAGAAGGTAAAAAGAGTAGAATACCTTCTTTTGCCTTCTTCCTTTGGAGTTGCTCTTAAGGGATGAACAATTAGGCAGGGAGATGCTGGATATAGGTTTTCTTACCTTTTATGCCCATCTAAAAACTATGTACTGTCACCCGCTTCATACGATAGAATCGCTCATTGATATACTTCACCAACCAAAAATATATTCTCCGATCTCAAATTGATTTACACTTATTATTAGAGTCTCTTAATAACTTTTACAGAGTATTTGTTCATATGTTTTTATTGATTATTTGGCGGAATAAAATAAAGTATTTTTGTTACAGTTTATTTTGTAAAATTTTTGGTGTAGTTTTTAAATATGTAATTTATACAAGTAGTTTTTATTTTTACCCCATTTTATAAGTAATTCTAAATGTTACAAAATTGTGCATGTCATTCGAATAGTGTAAATTAGTATGGGAAATAGGGAATATATATTTAATTTTTTGCAGATTTTAATGCAATACTTTAAATGTTAGGTAGTAATGCTTATATTTTGTTCATAAATAGATACGGAGCATGTCACAAAATTATGATATGAAATATTGCAAAAATACTCAACATCATAGAAAAGACACAACACACTCATGTACTGAAGGATATATACTCAAGGTAATGCGATGAGAATCATTTGGAGGATGACTCTTGTATACCAATAAATTCACTTAAATTCCCCACATACAAATTTGTAACTCTACAAATAATTTTGAACCATAAAAAGACCATCTTCTGTACTGTCCGTGTGTTTCAGTGTATGTATATATGCATTGATGAAAAGAGTAGAGTACAAGAAAAAAAAACAGACAGACTTCCTCGTTTCCGGGTGATAATCACTTCCTCTGTACATTGAACATTTCTCGAGTAAGCACTGCGGATTTGGAACCACCACAAGTCCAGTCCCTCGGAAAGTGTATTTGGTTTCCTACGTGTGCGTGTATATATATATATATATATATATCTGTATAAATGTGTTGAGAGACAGATGGAGGTGGGGCGTTGTTAATAACTAAGAGTAGAACTTGTAGTCCTTGGCTTGTATGATGATGGTTCGTAGACCGCCGATGGGAGCTATGATCATCAACACAACTCCCAGAACAATGCAAACCTGCAGCCAATCAGCAGCATTGATGCCGATTACAATTAATGAATTTTAGAAAACAGTCTACATTTTTCGGCATATCAATTACTACTAATACTCCTACAGAGAATAAACGAAGATTGGGTTGGAGGAGGACGTTACCCAGTTTGTGATCCAAGAAAGGCTGTATTTCTTGGGCTTGTAAATGCTAAGCCACATGACACACGGGAGCTGCAAAAGAGAGCACAAGCCACATCATTTAACCTTATTAACTTACAGCTGTTGTATGTGTGTTTTAATTAGTACGATCCTGTTCACACATATATTGAAGCAGGAGGGAGGGGCTTGCATTAGTGGACTTACAAAGTATGTTGTTGGGGCAAAAGCAAATCCTCCAAAGAAACCAAGAAGCCCGCCGAAGAAGGGAAAGGTAATGGCAATAAACATTGTGAGTGCTGCATCCAAACAAACCATTATTAATTCATTCATTAAAGTAATTCCATTCATCATTTGTTTCATTGCAGAAGAACTTAGGTGGAGCTAGTATGATGTTTGAATGTTTTATTGTTGGTCTCGATCACTTACCCACATATATGTTTCTGGTAATGAAACGCAAGTACCAGGTAGGCATGAACCTCATTTTCTTAACCAGCACCGTCTCTATCATGTCAAATACCGGCATTGCATAGATCTGCGTGCACCCATCATCAAAACTTATATAACGGTTGGAGACCGATGTTCAAAGGATCGAATTAAGGAATATTGCATTGTTGTTGTCGATGGATGTTTAAAGGATCGAATTAAGGAGTGATGGATAGTAGTAGTTTGTAATCTATCAATTAAGACCTACCTGATAACTTCCAATGACATGAACAACAACAAAGAGGTTGGCCATGGCAATGAGCCACACAGGTTTCTGCAGCGAGATGAGAATGTTGTCTTCCACTTGGTTCCCGAACATCCAGAAGCCGATGAAGGCGACGGGGAAGTAGCACAAAGCCACGACGATGTAAGCAACGACCACTCCCCTCCACATGGGTCCCTTTGAAGGGGTCTCGGGCGTGGAAGGGATGGTAGCCTGGATCTCCAGCACCACGTTGTGGCCCGCAAACGCAAACGCCACGTCACCCAACGCGCTGAAGAAGTTGAAAACAGTGCCCGTCGTGGTGGAGGACCTGTAGCTGTAGTCCACGTTGGGCTGCACACCCTTGTCCACCGAAGCCCCCCAGGCGATGGTGGAGTAACTCAGGGACATGACAGCCGCAGCCAGAGACACCCCGGAGATGGAGTTGAAGTTGGGGAGGTGGGAGAGCACGAAATGGACGGAGGCGAAGATCATGATGAAGTAGGAGAGCTTGATGTTCTTGCAGTCCTCGCAGACGAGGTCGTGGAATTTCTTGAGGGATTTTCCTCCGGTGACCATGTACACGATGTCCACCGCAATCTCCACCACGAGTTGTTGGGGGACGATGATCCAGAGGCCGAGCTTGTCACCGAAAGCGTGCTGCCCCAGCTCGTGGTACCTGTCGAATCGCTTCCCGGGGACCATTTCGTGCATCTCCACCATCTGCCACAGCGTGTAGAGAGTGATTATCCAAGATAACACCATCACCGAAACGCCAGGTCCCCTGAAATCAATCCATTCAATTCTTCTTCATTAGTTTGTTGTTTCTTCACATTGTACTGCGTAGGAAATATGAGTATGTAGAGATAGACAGAGATATAGATAGATAGATACCATCCGAGGTTAGACATGGCATAAGGGAGGCCAAGGACACCGGCGCCAACCATGGCGGTGACATTGTGGAAAGCGGAATACCACCACTTGGCGTTCCTTGCGGAGGTGATCGGAAGCCACTCGTCGATTGCTCTCTCCTCCGACGATCGTTCATCTCTCTGCATCACATCACATAACATTACTCTACTCAATCATAGCATATTGATCGATGGACAGACCTTCAATTATACTCATATCCATCGATCCATGGATAGATTGTGATTACTAAATTGCTTGGGTGCGTGCGTGAGAATAGAAATTATTATAACAATTAAGACTTACAGGCGATCGATCTGAATCTAATGATGGGGTTAATTATTAATTAAATATAATCTATCTATCTGGTCTAGCATATACAAATTGAACAACCTAACAATTAATTAATTACTGCTGCTGTACGAAGGAGGAGCTGATCGAGAATTAATGGATGAACGAAATGAAATTAAGGCTGTATATTTAATTTGTACGTACAGGCTTGGATGTGGCAGCAGCATTCCCCGTCGTCATCACTCACTAGATCTCCGGTGACCGATGATGAAGAAGAGAAGAATGGCCGCTCGCCGGCCGGCAGATTTGACAAAGAGGACGTACAATTATATTGTATGTATCTATATGGAAGTGAGTGTGAGGCCTGAGGGGGCGTTATTATAAAAAAAAAAAGGAAAGGATGCAAATATTGGCAGGCCGCGGGAATAGGAGGGAATTAGTGTGGGCCCGCTTTTGCCTCTCTTTGACTTTGACTCCTAAAGTCTTCTAATCCTATTATTGCCTGGCTTCCTTCCTTGTTCCATTTTTTTTTTTGAAAAATAAAATTCGCACCCCACCTACCCCCCTTATTACAGTGACATTCAATTGACTTTTCCTTGATGTTAGTATGATCATCCTTATTTCATTTTTCTTCTTCAAAATTTGTAAATTTTCACGTTGATATATACAAAAATATCTATTGTGTTTCAATATATATATATCATCAATAATCTCTTTATGAAACGTATCTTTGAAATATTAAATATTCATCATATATACATATTTATGTATATATTTAGATATTAATAGTCAAAGTGTCGTTGAGAATCTCAACAAAACAAATGAGAAGATCATGTGGCGATGGAGAAAGTAGTTTAAACTCATGGGTGATGCAATCATTTTGAAGCCCTACTAAAAAGACTCCATAAAAATTAGGCATTCTAAGAGTATTTCTCCATTTTTAACATTTTACATTTAAAATTAATAATTTTCGCCATTAATTAAATAAAATCATATTAAATATTGATATATGAATAATTTTATTATATTTATCTTGTAAAATATTTTCAAATATGTTTTTATATAATTACTATACCATGTAATATTCTGGTTGAATGCAAAAAAAATCAAAGTTAGACAAATATTCTGGGACAGAGAGAGTATTGTTTC